TTATTTATTTTTTAAATATACTTTATTGATTTTTTTACAGAGAGGAAGGGAGAGGGATAGACAGCCAGAAACACTGATGAGAGAGAAACATCGACCAGCTGCCTATTGCACACCCCCTACCGGGGATGTGCCCACAACCAATATATTATACATGCCCTTGACAGGAATCAAACCTGGGACCCTTCAGTGTGCAGGCCAAAGCTCTATCCACTGAGCCAAACCGGTTTTGGCATACTTTGATTCTTTTTAATGTATTTGTTTCTTTTAGGCTATCATGATTTAAAGTTCCTCCCATGGGCCAAATTTAAATACTGATTTTAAAGTCAAGCTTTCTACCATTTCATCCATCCAATGTACTAATTATTTGATAGAAATATAATTTTCTGCTGAAACCGGTTTGGCTCAGTGGATAGAGCGTCAGCCTGCGGACTGAAAGTCCCAGGTTCGATTCTGGTCAAAGGCATCTACCTTGCTTGCGAGTACATCCCCAGTAGGGGATATGCAAGAGGCAGCTGATCGATGATTCTCTCTCATCGATGTTTCTCTCTCTCTCTCTCTCTCTCTTTTCCTCTCTGTAAAAAATCAATAAAATATATTTAAGAAAAAAAGAAATATAGTTTTCTATATCTTAAAAGTGCCCTAAAACTTTATAAAAAACTTTTACACGTCATATGCATACAAATATAGAAAAAGATCCATTTACTCAGTAATGACATGATAAATGACATGATTCTACATTATTAGTCATTCTAAAGAATGCAAATTATTCCAGAAATAATTTTTTATCCTGCTTTCTCTGTTTTTATCTTCTTAAAATATTTTTTCTTTAATATAAGATGATATAAAAATATTCTGGTTCTTACTAGGTGTCTTTAAAATATTATGTGTACATGCAACAATTATTTTTGCAATAAAAATCTTAAAAGATATAATATTTTAAAAAGCAGCATTTAAGGAATTTTGTCCTCCAAACAATACTTCATCCTAAATATCCTAAATAATTGATAAGATTTTTGAATAACCCAAAACTGCAGGGTGCTAACATTTTAAATTTTAATTTTGAAGTACTTCAAACATGTTTAAGAAAATGGAGAATAGAGCAAAAATCTTTGTACCCACAATCCATGTTTAATAAATGGTAACATTTGACTGTGTTCCTTTGGATTCTCTTTTTTTCTTAAGATAATAAATGATGTAATATAATTGAATCCCTATTTTAAAAATCTACCAATTTTTAATTGGTACTTCATATATAATACAATTTTTTTCCATTCTGTATGATTTCCAAGATTTATCCATGTTGACATATGCAGATTCCTTTATTCATTTTAATTTATAGATGATATTCCTCTGACTACTCCCCTGCCAACTTCCCTTATGCTGCTGCTGTTACTTGTTTTGCCTTTTTTACATAAATGTTAATATATTGTACCTTATGTTCTGGACTTTATATTTTTCACAAAACTTCTTTATGCTTAAAATAAACAATACCAAGATTTATTTTGTACCCCTTCTCAACTTATGGAAAACTAAAAGAAAATTATATTGGGGGATAAGATTTTCATAAGAATCTTTATCATAACGCACAGTGAGGTTGGTAGAGAACATTTTGATGAATTCCAGACATATCCCTAACCTTTGATATGTCCTAAGGTTTATAAATAGTCCTTTAGGAGAAATATAAATTGCTCGACCCTGGTTGCTTTACCTAAGTAATTCATATTTAATATAATGTAATGGAATTCATTAATGTAACAAATATTTCTCTTTTATTTTTTTAAATATATATTTTATTGATTTTTTTACAGAGAGGAAGGGAGAGGGATAGAAAGTCAGAAACATCGATCAGCCGCCTCTCTCACACCCTCAACCGGGGATGTGGCCACAACCAAGGCACATGCCCCTGACTGGAATTGAACCCAGGACCGTTGAGTCCACAGGCCGACGCTCTATCCACTGAGCCAAACCGGTTTCGGCAATATTTCTCTTTTAAAATGTTTTATTTTCCCCATCACTCTTTTTAGGACTCTGAAGTAATTTAGTTCTAGACCAACTTTCTTTTTATTCTTTAATTTAGCAAATCATTAGGTGTTTTAAGAAGGGCAGAGTATATTACTCTCTTATTTCTCTTCCTTTTTTAGGCCTGCAATCTTTTGATAGTATTTTAATCAATTAATATTTATTGATTCATTTTATGTGCTTAGCACTTTGCTAAGTATTATTGTGGATATTAATGTAAATAATTAATGGCTCACACGGATGTTAAAATTTAATTGAAGAGAAATAAATTGCTCATTAGACCACACTAAGGTGCTAATGGTGTGAGGTAAGGTTTGGATGCTGAAGATTGGATTTTGGAAAGCAGAAAAAAGAGGATCTTTATGAACAAGAACTCAGATGTTAATACAAGATTGGTAACAAATGAAAAGTTTAACCACTTTATTCCTGATGTTGTGAATAGAAGATGGGCCGAAACCAGTTTGGCTCGTGGATAGAGCGTTGGCCTGCGGACTGAAGGGTCCCAGGTTCGATTCCAGTCAAGGGCATGTACCTTGGTTGCTGGCACATCCCCAGTAGGAGGTGTGCAAGAGGCAGCTGGTCGATGTTTCTCTCTCATTGATGTTTCTGGCTGTCTATCCCTCACCCTTCCTCTTTGTAAAAAAACAACAACAACAAAAAAATCAATAAAATATATTTAAAAACAAAAACAAAGAAAAGTCCAGAATGTTTAGAACTGATGAAGTAGGCAGTGAGTTGCCCACATCAATTTCATGTAAGTTAGAAGATACACTCGGTATGACAGGAGGCCGAGTGGATCAGAGCAAGGGGAGGGAGAGCAATTAGAAGGGTTTTTATCAGATTTGGAAAATTCTACTTAGGTGGAGCCTTCAAAGAGCGCATGTGCCCTCTGACCCAGTAATTCCATTTCTAAGACTTTTAGGAAAATATCCCAAAATGTGTTGTTTCTGAATAACAGAGAACTAGGTCATCACAATATTTTGAAGTAACTTTTCTTTCATGTGTTTCTGCTCCCTGGTACCTTTTTCCTCCAAAGTCCAGGGGTGGTGAATTTTCCTGCAGTCTGAAACAGCAGGGAGGTTCCCCAAGTGGAAAGTTCTGGGAGCCTGGGAATAGGTATACATTTCTAGAAAGTTTGTAAATGAGCTTCTGGTGTTTATGAATTTTCAGACGTTATATGTAAGATTTCAGATTATGTGCATTTTCTAGACAGAGTTTCTGATTCTGAAAGAAGTTTGTGACCCCCATCCAAGTCAATAGCATTGCTTCAAAGATTTAATTCCTACAAGTCTAAATCTTATCTCTTCAGAGACTATCAGAACCAAATAGAAGTAAGATATGTGATCATATTATGGCATACCATATGAAAGTGCCAATATTTAATTTAGCAACTATTGAAATCTATATTCATAAAAGGCTAATATGCTAAGTGTTTGACCATCTGACCAGTCATTATGATGTTCACTGACCACCGGTGACAGACACTCAATGCAGGAACTGCCATGATGTGCACTGGCCATTTACAGAGAAATGGCATAGCGGACCTGGTGCCACAAAGCAAGACTCAGCTTCCCCAAATGGGACTCAGTTTCTGCCACCACCCCAGAACAACAGCCACCAAGTTGCAGCTGACACTGCTGAGACACCATAGTGCAAAATGCAGTCCCCAGCCAGCCCAGCCTGGACCGTGGCTATGGTTGCTGGGTAAATGACATCACATATCAACTCCTGGCTTCCTCTCTCTAGCGTCTAGCCTCTTTGGAGTTTCTTCAGCCCAGGAACCTGACTTGCTTTATAGTCAAGGACAAACATTTTACACTTTAACCATATATCTGTGAAGCATTTTCCTGTGCCTCATCTCGTTTGATCCTCACAGAAGTCCTGGAATAGGTAGATGGGAGACTCGGTGGAATCCTATTTTCCAGAAAACGGAGATTTAGAAAGCTTAGAAACTTGACCTTATTGAAAAGAAATAAAAAACGGTGGAACTTAAAAATGACTTCAGGTTTTCTCACTGCACAGAATATAGTCAAACACTGCTGCAGTTAAATATTTTACCGTTTGTTCTCTCTGTATAATCTACAATAATCTGTTTCGTGTTGATATTTCCTGCTGTGTTGCTGACGATTACCTGAAAGAGAAGTTTGGGGTGCTTCACTGGACTGGAAAAAGTTTAGCTAAATCAGAAAGCAGGTCTAATTAAGCAAGTTTATTCTATAGCTATAAAAGGCTAGGTTGAGTCTCACATGTGCAATACATATAAAGCTCTTGCTGGCACCAATTGCACACATGCTTTTCAATCTATCATTATTGATCATGAATGTGATTGACACTTTTATTGTAGAGAAAGGGCAAATAGTGATATTAGAATATTTCTTCTAATTAATTTCCTTTCAATGTGCATGAATTTGTGCACCAGGCCACTAGTAGAAAAATATCAAAAGGATATATAGTATAGGAAAAGAATGGCAAATAGGTTCAAAGTGTTTACTAAATTTGATTGTTGGTTAGACTGTGCCTGTGGGGCTCTTTGATAGACAGTTCTTGGGCTTTCTGATTCAAGCACAAAACACCAGGATGACTCTGCCTTGTCTGTTGTTTCTGCCATGAGTACTGGGGGGCTGAGTGATGGGATTCACATTGCTGTGCTATTAATTATGCTCATGTAGTCAGAATTTCTTTGTTAGCTGGAGTATTACACCTTTCAAAATGATTTAGTATCTGACTGTCATAAGTGTAGTTTGGCAATTGAAAACCAAAAATATTTTTTAAACCAAATTTAACTATAAGTATTTCTTGGAGGAGTTCAGATAATCTATAATAATACAATTTAGCTCAAGGTTAATTTCTTCCTTTCTTTTTTTATTTTCTCAATTTTTACCATCCTTTAATTTTCATTGAAGCAAAAAATGAAAAGAAAAAGAAAAAATATAATTGAAATGAAGAAACATTTTAAACCTAACCTTTTTTTTCTCTTGCAGTTTGCTTTCTGATTATAAACAGCTTGACATTTTAAGAAAAGTGAGATCTTATATAAAACAGGAAAATTATGATGAAGCAGTAAGTATGCAGGTCTTCTATCTAATAAAATAGTAATATGTGAATCAGCGAATCAGGAGTGAATATGCAAATAAACCCAACAAAGATGGCTGTGGCCACAGAGAGAAGGAGGGAGGCTTGGGTTTGGCAATGGAGGAAGCCAAACTTCTGCCTGCCCTTGCTTTTCGTTAACTTTCTCTTTGTTAAATGGTCATATAGTTTTAAAGAAGGAAATAATTCTATTTTCATTTTCTAAAATTGCCTATGTAATACCATGCATATCTAATGCTTATTTTTTTAAAATATATTTTATTGATTTTTTTTTTTTTACAGAGAGGAAGAGAGAGAGAGTTAGAAACATTGATGAGAGAGAATCATCAATCAGCTGCCTCTTGCACACCCCCTACTGGGAGTGTGCCCGCAACTAAGGTACATGCTCTTGACCAGAATCGAACCTGGGACCCTTGAGTCCGCAGGCTGACGCTCTATCCACTGAGCCAAACCGGTTTCGGCTCTAATGTTTATTTTTGTTATGGTTTTAAAATAAGCTATTCTCCTCTGAAATATTCAGCATATTTTAATCATGTTTTATGACTGATTTTGGTAATCTAATATGAGAATGTCAAAAATGATATACAGGTGGGCATGTTCATTATTTAGGACCTATATTAGAGAGCCTTTATTTCTTTCTTTAATCTGCTAACTGAAAATAATTTCCACAAAATGAAATATTTTAAATCTCTACACATGTAGTTTAAGATGCACTTTCTTATCAGTATTTAAAAATTAATTTTATTCAAGAACTAGTGGCCTGGTGCATGAAATTTGTGCATGGGGATGGGGGGTGTCTCTCAGCCCAGCCTGCACCCTCTTCCAATTGGAAGGGACTGGGGAACTCCGGTGGCAGGCGTTCCTTGGCGGGGGGGCGGGGAGAGGTGATGGTGGTTGAGGCAACTGTGTGCTGCCATCTTGTGGCTTTGGGTGCCACCATCTTGTGAAGGCGTTATGGTCAATTAGCATATTCCCTTTTTATTATATAGGATTTTTCTTGTACTTTACAAGAAGATCCATGAACAATTAAAATCTTTTTTTCTTTTAATTATTATTATCTATAGTTACTCTGATTTTAGTAAGTTTTCTTCCTTTAAAACTTAGGTTTTTTATTCATCCCATGTGGCACGTTACATTTTTCTTTCTCCCTAGGTCATCCTTTGCATGGAGCTGATTCATCTCTCATTGGAAGGATTGTCCTATTATCACACTTATGACAGATTCTTTTTGGGCATCAGTGTTCTGCTTGGATTTGTGGGATGGGCATCTTATGTTTCTTTGTTGATTATCAAGACTCATTCCAGTCTTACCAGAAGTGTTAATAAAGAAGTTAAGGTATGTTTAGAAAATATCATGATAATTTAGATGTTGGTGTAAAATCACAAACACTGAGCAAAGAAACTGAATAAACTCAACTGTAATGAGTTCATACATTGTGCAAGTTGTACTAAACTTTTCTTTATTTATTTTTTAAATATAAATGGTGAGAGAGAATCATTGACTGGCTGCCTTCTGTGTCCACACTTGGGATCGAGTTGACAAACTGGGCATTTTGTTAAGTTCTTTAAATAATCTTATTTAAGCATTACTAATTTTGATAAGTAGACATGGAATTATTGTTCCCATTTTATAGGTGGGGTGAAATTAAGTCTTGGAAAAGTTTTGTACTTTGCTCATACTCATAATCATATAGTGAGCAAGTGATAACACCCATGGGCCATCCCTGGTGACTTACATTGAAGAACTCCTTATTTGGCTGGTGATTGGAAGGGAGAAATGTCTGAATGAACACACTGTGGATGGGCAATGGAGAGAGAAGTGTGGACAGCATGTTAAGTTGGAATTTGGATAGGAGCATTGTTCCAAGTAAGATTAGGTCCCCCAGTTTATTGTGGATTAAATGGGCTTTTGTGAGCTAGTTACAGAACTCAGTCAGCATTTATTAAATTATTAATAAGGTGAAATATGTTCCAAGTTCTAAGTGACTTATTTGCAAACAAACAGGAACATAGTCACTTTTAAATTGGGAATTGCCTTATTCACCCATTCCATGCTATCCAGCTTTTTCTTCTGTAATGTGCTTCTCCAATGACAGAAAAATGCATTTCTTATATTAATCATCTAGTTGTAAACTATTGAAAGAAATACTTATTCTTCACTTTATAAAAGCTCTTAAAAACCTACCAATCAGCATGAGTTTGGAAGTGTTTGAATATTTTGTTTGATTTTCAGAAACCAAGCCATCTCCTGCTGTGTAGTTTTATGGCTATTGGCATTTTAATGACATTTTTCCTGCTGATTCAAGCCTGTCCCTGGACTTATTATGTATATTGCTTGTTGCCAGTGCCTATATGGTATGCGGTTCTAAAGGAGTAAGTAACATATCTTGCTGTCTTCTTTTTTACTTCACTGTCAGATAAACCTGTATTTAAAATGCATTCAATTACTGTAGCATAATCATCAACCATATTTATAATACTCTCAAATCTCCAAACCTTCTCACTTTATTTATGACAGCATAAATGTTGCATATAAGTATCCTTTTTGTTTTACCTTTTTTAAAGAATTAATCTCAGAGAGGAAGGGAGAGAGAAACATTGTTGTTCCATTTATTTATACATTCACTGGTTGATTCTTTCTTGTGCTCTGACCAGGGATCGAACCTTGGCGTATTGGGACAATGCTCCAGCCAACTGAGCTACCTGGCTAGGGCCTTATTTATTTATTTATTTATTTATTTATTTATTTATTTATTTTTTATGTTTACTTCATCTTTATTGCTTTAGGGAAGTATTGTCCTTGTTGCCTTCTTTATGTATCTTTTATGAAAAAAATATGGAGTAAAAATAAAATGACTGAACTATGTTGTCTGTATTATAAGTAGAGTAACCTATATTTTTAATTTGTCTTGTATATCTCAGTTTCTAGTATCTCTTCATGTTTCATTAAAAAATCTGTACTTTTTTCACATGAATTTTGCCCCTCCTTTCTTAGCTATAAAGTCAACCTGCATCAATGAAACTTTGTAATTAAATCAAATCTATTAAAGTGTGCATACAAGATTAGTGGATATTATTCACATGTGCTGTGGTTCTAAAATGCCTCCTCACAAGTTGTACTTAAATGGGTTCTTACAGTGTAGAAAACATCAGAGTTCAGGCAAGTTTCAAGTCCTTTAAAATAAAACCACTAATACAATATTCTGGTTTATGTTCACAGACTCAGATCTTGTTGACATCTATACAGTATATGCTCAGTTGGTTGGAGTGTCGTCTGATACACTGAAGGGTCTCGGGTTCGTTTCCCATATGGGCACATACCCAGGTTGAGCATTTTATCCCTAGTCAGAGGCACATACAGGAGGCAACTGATGGATGTTTCTCTCTCTCTCTCTCCCTCTCCTTTTCTATCTTAAGTCAATAGTCAATAAAAATTAAGTTTAAAATGTCAATATCCTATATAATATAAGAGGAATATGCTAATTATCCATTATGCCGTAATGTCATAACCAATCTACAAGTGGTGGAGAGCTACAAAAGGGCAGTGCAGTGAGCTATGAGCAGTGGAGAGCTACCAGCTGCGGTGGGCAGGTGGCCAGCTGGGTCAATCGGCAGCGAGCTACTCATGCATAGATCCTTGTGCAGGGCTACTAGTTTTAAAATATAAGGCAAAATGACACAAAAGAATATACTGTTACTACTTCATTTGAAGGAAATGGGGTTGCTGGAAATACATATGTAACTTAGATTTTTTTTTTTTCTGATGTCATTTACTCTGTTTTAAAGTTTTTAGAATGAAAGGTTTTAACCTTCCAGAAAATTCTGCTCTACTCCCAAACCCCAAGGGATTTTGCAAGGGTAAAACCTTTTGTTCTAAACTTTTTTAAAGGGTAACTGACACTAGAAAAAATCTTCCAAATTATTTTACAAAATCATCTCTTATCTCTCCGTGCTTATTCACTGTTATGAACAAAAGAAACATTCATCTTTTGCCTGGTGTTAGCTTATTTTTTTCCTACTTGGCATCTTAATAGTTTTGATAACATGAGGTAGCTCTTGTTTTAAATCAGCAAAAAGGTCATAAATCAAGTGATACTGACATTTTGTAATTACTTACTTAATAATGCACTATAAATGCTAAAAAAAAAAAATTCCAGTAATTAAATATCAAAAAGTACTCAAGTATGTAATACATTTTAAATGGCTATGAATTAATATTTAATTATAATTACTATATAATTAGTGACATCTTAAAATGGGTTTGGATAAGGTTATTTAGCTCAGTAAAAAGTACAATAAGATTTACTCTAACTAGATAAGAAAAACCTACCATTATTTCATTAAGACAGTTGAGATTTCAAAATAAGATTAACCTTAGTGAATTAAAAATTATTTCCCAGTTTTTATTCACTTGGGTTCACTGTATTTTATTTCTGATATTGTATCTGTAATTATATAAACACTTGAGACCCAGTGAATGAAATTCATGCACTGTGTGGTGAGTCCGTCAGCCTGGCCTGCGCCCTCTCACAATCCGGGACCCCTCAGGGGACGTCTGCCTGCAGGGGGAATGGTCCTAAGGCTGCAGGCAGGCATCCCTCTCTCAATCTGGACTCCTTCGCTCTTTACCACTCACCTGCTCGCTGCTCCTTACCACTGCCACAGAGGCAGGAGAGGCTACTGCCACTGCCACTACACTCACCAGCCATGAGCCCAGCTTCTGGCTAAGCATTGCTCCCCCTATGGGAGCACACTGACCACCAGGGGGCAGTTCCTGCATTGAGTGTCTGCCCCCTGGTGGTCAGTGCACATCATAGCAGCCAGTCATTCTGGGTATTCCACTGCAATGGTCACTTAGGTTTTTATTATATAGACTAGAGGCCCGAAGCATGAAATTTGAACAAGGGGACCGGCCCTCACAGCCACGGCAGCTTGCCTTGGCCCAAGCAGCCCTTGCTTTGTCTGGAAGGTCATCCAGAATGTTCGGAAGGTCGTTCGGCTACCCAGTCTAATTAGCATATTACACTTTTATTATTATAAACTAGAAGCCCTACACACAAATCCCAGTAGCTTGCTGCCGCCCTCCAGTAGCTCTCCGCCCGCTGGCCTGTGCTCCTGTAGCTACCTCCCCTCACAGCTTGCTTCCCTGCCCCCTCCTGTAGCTCTCCACCACCCTCTTGTAGCTCGCTGTCCCACCCTCCTGTTGATCCATGATTCGGTCGTTACGTGGTCGGTCATTACACTTCATGGCATAACAACCATTTGCATATTACATCTTTATTATATAGGATGGGTATGGTTAAACTATGATCAAATAAGGCTCACTTATTGTCATTAATATTTTTAAAAACAAGCAATGTTTTTATGATCGTTATCAAATTAATCCAGAAATTACAATTTTTACTAAAATACTTCTAGGTTTCAAAAAAAAGATTTAGGTCAGTAAAGCCATTAAAATAAATCTATTAGAGATTCTCTTCATTTTAAAATAATCTGTGAATTACATATTTCCTGATTCATAGCTTTGCACTAAGTTTTGATATTTTTACTAAATATGGCCTCATTTTCTATTCAACATAATCTTTTTATTAAAAATTTTGCTAAACAGATATCAAGTTATTCAAGACCTTGTCACATCACTGTGTACCTTCCCTCCTCGTCATTTTGTTGGATCCCTGTTAGCCTTTGCCCTGGGAATTGAAGTATTAGTAAGTAATTTACCACGTTACAGCATAGTTACCTCTTTCACATTTATGTAACTCCTTTAAAATGACCTCACTTTTTATTTCTTCTTTGGAATGTGTTACTAGGTTCTCAGTTTTTTCTACCGCTATATGCTTACTGCTGGACTTATTGTATTTGCGGGTTGGCCATTTACCACTCAGCTATGGACGCGAGCAAAGGTATACACACACTTTTTGATACTGGACAGTTAGTAGTTACTGGTTCGACATGTGTTTAACTTAGGGAACTGTTCATTTTTAAAGAAAAGAGTGAGACATATTTCTACATGAAGAGTCTGGTCCTTTTGACTAGAGAATGGAGGTTGCTTTAAGGTTTCAGTGATTGCATAGATTTTCATATCAAAATAAGCCTGTCAAATGGTGCCTGAAAGACACAAGGAGCAGAGAAGCTGTGTCCTTCTCTGAAGTGCTTGCTAGATTGCTTTAGCCACAAGTATCTGAATGATGGGGCAGCCGAGGAACTGCCCAGTGCAGCGGCTAGAGGGTCGTTCTCTGAACTTGGATCACAGCTGTCACCTCCCTCCCAGCCCTGTGCCACCTTCATTCTTTTCTGGAGAAGCATATGTTCATGATGGATTATTTTAAAATATAATTATTGTTTCTTCAACTAGATAGAGAATTATAATGTGTTTCTACAAGAAATATGCTCATTTCCATTTTGATATTTTTTGGTAATCCTCACCCGAGAGTATTTTTCCATTGATTTTTATTTTTATTTTATTTTAGAGAGAGTGTGGAAGAGAGAGGAAAAGACATAAATATCAACCTGATAGAAACATGGCCCCGGCCAGGGAGGAACCTGCAATCTAAGTACATACTCTTGACCAGAATGGAACCCAGTCCCCTTTGGTCTACAGGCTGATGCTCTATCTATGGAGCCAAACCAAATGCTAAAATGATACTTTTTAAAATATATATTTTTATGATTTCAGAGAGGAAGGGAGAGGGAGAGAGAGATAGAAACATCAATGATAAGAGGAAATCATTGGTTGGCTGCCTCCTGCACCCCCCCTACTGGAGATCAAGTTCACAACCCAGGCATGTGCCCTTGACCGGAATGGAACCTGGGACCTTTCGTCTGCTCTATCCACTTAGCCAAAACTGTGAGAGCCATTTTGCTACTTTTTGATGGAGGCAGCAAGAAGAAATATCTTCTTTTTACCCTCTGAGAACTAGTAAAATTCCTCAATGGGATTCTTGATCATTTTTGTCATAATCTAATTACAAAAGTGTTTTTTTCTCATTTCTTTCCTGGGCTCAATCATTTGATTATGATTGTTGGCCAAATTGCTTACAGATATAATCATATTCACTGTAATGTAAATTGAAAGAAGCACTTGCCTTGAAATTTCAGGCCCAGCTTAAGATCCTTTCTGTTTCATTTACTAATCATAAGCTAATACTACTTATTCTTCAACATTTCTGAGGTCAGTTTCCTCATCTGAAACTCTCTGAATAATATAACCTATCTCCCAGCTTATTGTGAGAATTATGAGATAATACTCATATTATACCTATATACTACCTATTATATAACTGATCCTTCACAGACAGTAACTCCATTACTTTGTAAAGTAAACAGATATAAAGTTTTGAATTTTCTCTTTGATTCATAGCCATATGGTTTGTGAAACATTGAAGACTGTTTTCTCTACCATATTTTCCTAAAAATAACTTTTTTTTTTTAATTTGTTTTAGAACATCTCAATGAGTTGGATTTTCTTCTGTTTGCTCCTGGCAGTGTTCCCTCTGATGCCTGTGGTAGGACGAAAGCCAGATATCTTTCTAGTGTATGAACAATATTTTATAACTTACTTTCTTTCCAATACAACTATTTTCTTAACACTATGAAATATGAATCTAATCTTGATCATAAGTTTAAAATTACACAAACAAACTAGAAGTTAAAATATTAATATCAAACCATTTGTCATAATTTTTTGCCTAGACTCTAGGAGCCATTAAAGCTCCCTGGCCTGCCTCTAGGCCTTCACAAGAATGACAGTGTACCAAACAGTGATAACTTAAAATACCACTCCCCCCCCCCCCCCCCCCCCCCCCCCCCCCCCCCCCCGCCAATTCCCACCCCACTCCCTCAAAAGTCCAGAAGCTTTCTGTAACTTTGTATACTGGAAAAGCTTTCAATGAAAAAGTCTTCTGTTGCTAAAACAAAAAGGTTTAGCCGAAGCCGGTTTGGCTCAGTGGTAGAGCGTCAGTCTGCGGACTGAAAGGTCCCAGGTTCGATTCCGGTCAAGGACATGTACATTGGTTGCGGGCACATCCCCAGTAGGGGGTGTGCAAGAGGCAGCTGGTCAATGTTTCTCTCTCATCGACGTTTCTAGCTCTCTATCTCTCTCCCTTCCTCTCTGTAAAAAATCAATAAAATATATTTAAAAAAACAAAAACAAAACAAAAAGGTTTAAAAGCCATTGATGTCACTCATCTCTGTCTTTGCCTGTGAACATGTCCACACTTTGTCTTAAAAAAAAATTAAATTCCTATTCTAATCTGAATGTAAAGATCTCCATGGAAAGAAACTATACTTTGACAACTTTCTCATTTTAATCACTTTGACTGTTAGAAAATTCTATATAGCTTTCTTGAATTCTCCATGCTACTATTATATTTATTTCTTTTCAATATATCCTAAATAAATCCATAAAATAATTGGTTACCTTTGTTTTTAACTTTACTTTTAAATTATTATCAAGTAATCTATTGGGGGGTGTGTGTATATTTATGCATGTGCTTGACAAACTAAATAATCATTTCATTAGCATTTCCTCTCTTCTCTAATTATGTAATTATCTTTGGTACTTTCTTTAGAACTCTGTATAAATAATATTTTTAGCATTTTAACCTAATCTTTAATAGATAAGAGTATGTCTTTTTTAATTGAGGGAAAGTTAACTAAACAATATTTTTAAGTATGTTAGGGTTAGGGTTAGTATCTATTTTGCTACTTCATTTTGATTAAACCAAAAGACTCAGACGTTTTCCATTATTGTAGAATGTCTAATGTTTTTATATGCTCTGTGTTCAGTCAGCATCTTAAGAAATTTTAAAATTGTGAATTGTGTTTTCAAACAGAATGTGTGCAGGCCTGCTGGTCCTTCTGCTGTCCTTGTTTGTTGTAACATCTCTCATAAAGACAAAAGATAGTTTTTTAAATGACCAGCTATTGTTACACCTATTCCAGGTTAGTTACAGATTGTCACACTGTCTTATTACTAATGATATACCAAAATGTATCTACAGTTGTGTTTAATTACATTGCTCTTAAGATGTCATCATAAGTTATCTAATACCTACTAACTAAGAAGAGAGTTTTCTGTTTAAGATATCACATGGAAATATATTTTCTAAAAGTTGTGAAATAGCAAAGAGGCCAACAGAAGGCAGGTTAGAGATGCCCGAGAGCAGGTTAAGGAGGCATAAGAGGCATCTCTATTGACCAAAAAGTTGACCGGAAAGGGCCTCCTCTAGACTGAGATTCTGTGTTGTCCTCATTTGAAGCGAAGGCAGACTCTGAGTATGCTTATATGAAGAATAGCCAATTTAAGGCCTCAGAGGATGTCCTAGGAGAAAATAAACTTCACTTTGGTTGGTGGCATTGTTGTGGTATAAAGAACTATAAACTTGATATTTCAAAATTGAGTTAAATGCCAGTTATGATGCTTATTACATGTGTGCTTTTCAATAATAGAACTTTAGTCTGTTTTCAATCTGTAGAGATAATATCTAATAGTGTGAAAATTAGAGATTATAATATCATTCTGTAAAATGAAGCATTTCTGTAGATAGTGAAAACCACATTTTTTTAAAAAACATATTTTATTGATTTTTCACAGAGAGGAAGAGAGAGGGATAGAGAGTTAGAAACATCGATGAGAGAGAATCATCGATCAGCTGCCTCTTGCACACCCCCTACTGGGGATATGCCCGCAACCAAGGTACATGCCCTTGACCAGAATCGAACCTGAGACCTTTCAGTCCGCAGGCTGACGCTCTATCCACTGAGCCAAACCGGTTTCGGCCACATTTTTTTCTTTTAAACAATAAAAAAATTAAAATCTACATTTAGAACTCTGACCAAAAACACTTATATGAGTCTACTCAAAAAATGTACTCAGAACAAAGCTGGGATAATGGAAAGTATTTCCAAGAACACTCTGAAATAAAAATATATGCAGCACTTCAAAGATGTCATTCTTGAAGAAAAACAGAGAAGGAACATTTTGTCAAGGTTCCTATCTACCATTGGTGTTTTTCATTTTAAATGGTGTACTGACTGGCTTTTCTGTAAAGCTGGTAGCAGCTTTGACAGAATACACTAGTAATATTAAGTACTTTGGCAGTAGTGAATGTTTCTGAATCTCACTCTAGAGGAGTTAAGACTATCAAGCGAAAATTCTAACAGACTTTGTTAGAAATCCTTTCTCATCAAAATTTCTCTCTAGATTTAGCATCCATTCATAACTCTTTCCTAAGTATAAGGTAAATCTTTTGTAAAATTCCTCTTTATATTAACTTTATTAATTTGCATCAATTCCTGAATTGTGTGCCATATTTTTCATTGATTCCAAGGTACGTATCTGACATGAAAAAATGTCTTATAATTGAAAGGATCATAGGATTGTGTCATAGCTTCATCGATAACACTTTTGTTCTTTCTTCACTAAAAATATAAGAGTAACTTAAATATAGATCTAGGATTTGGTGGTGAGGTAGCTAATCTGATCTTTAAGAGATTTTACTTTGTCCATAGTCATAACTTAGTTGATAACTTCTTAATGTGGCAATTGGTCCACTAGTTCAGGAATCAGAAAACATTTCTCTAAAGAACCAGATTGTAAAGATTTTAAGCTTTAGGACCATGTAGAGTCTGTTTTAAATTTTCATCTCTATCTCTGCAGTGCAAAGGGAGCTAGCTATAGGAAACATGTGATTGTGTCCAATAATATAGTATTTCTAAACACAGGCCCCAGGCCTCTAAGCTGTAGTTTACCAACTAGTTTATGTATATTCCCTGAAGAATATTGTACTCCTTGTAGTCCCATTACTAAGTGAATACTCAGGCCACAAGTACATATTGAATGAATAAATGGATATGACTATGTGTGAGAGCCAGAGGTGGGAGACATAGCCACCTACACTAAAGTCTATGCACTTCAACCTCTGCATTTCAATGATTTAGAAAAACTTCAAGGTTAATAATGAATACTTCTAGGTAGAAAGAGTGTGATAATGTTTGCCCAAATACTCTTGCAGGTGTAAGATGCCTCATCTCATGCTTGTTAAAAATGACCTTTGCTTAGTGCAAGAGCTCTAACTCAGCTCTGGCCACAAGAAGGTGGCCTGGTCTAATTTCACTAGCAGTTTTGCCAGATTTCACTTGTTCAGGCGCTTTGTGAAGTGTTTTTATATAAATTAGTCTTTCACCACCTTATCTTTATTTCCTTGTGTTGCATTTGTTTTCAGATGCTGAGCACAGTGCTTTCCATGTGGGCTGTGTATAGCACACATAATAGCCTACTTAAGAAACAAGGACTTCCTCTTACTAATCAGGTGGTTAGCTGGATAATATTAGGTAAGAGGTCAGTCAAACCAAATGAGGTAACTTTACATCATCATAGTTTAAAATTATCAATTTGCATCTATAATATTATTAAAAGACATTTTGTTGCGGGACAATAATAATAACCAGCTATTATTTTTATCACTTGATAGCATTTGACAAATAAAATTAGAACTTTTATGAACATTCATGTATTAATAAGAATTACTTGATAGACTATTTATGACATGATAATCAGGCTATATATTTATTCACTTCTGATAAAAACCTAAATGCAGCTAGAAGAGAAAACAGTATTTTTTCTGTTTTCCCCCTCCCTTATGAATAATAAGGCAACTGTGACAATCTGAGACCATCAAATATCCTTGCATCAAAATTTCTTCTTAGATTTAGCATCCATTCATAAGTCTTTCCTAATATAGTCTTTGTCATGATGGCTACAAAATGATTTTCTAGCTCTAACCCTCCTGCATTTACCAAAAGGCTCTCAGCACTCTTAAGAATCCTCCCTTCTTGACTTGTATACATGCATATAAGTACAACCAATGGACATAAAACTCTGGGGAGGGAGGGGATATGTGGGAGGGAGGGGTGCAAAAAAAATCAATAAAATATGTAAAAATAAATAAAATGAAATAAAAAAAAAAAGAAAAGAAATTTAAAAAAAAAAGAATCCTCCCTTCTTAAAATATGTATCTGGTGATGATAATCTTATTAGAACCACACATCTGAAAAAATTAGAAGCTATTTGTCCAAAAGTATCCTATATAATAAAGAGGTAATATGCAAATTGACCATCACTCCAACATACAAGTAGGCCACCCCCATGTGAACACAAGATGGTCGTCACAGGTGGCCTGCAGGGGAGGGCAGTTGGAAGCAATTAGGCCTGTAGGGGAGGGAAGTTAGAGGTGACCAGGCCAGCAGAAAAGGGCAGTTGGGGGCAACCAGGCCTATAGGGGAGGGCAGTTAAGGGCAACCAGGATGTCAAAGGAAGAAAGTTAGGGGTGTCAGGGCCAGCAGGGGACGGCTGTTAGGGGCGACCAGCCCAGCAGGGGAGGACAGTGAGAGGCAACCAGGCCAGCAGGGGAGGGCAGTTAGGGGCAATCTGGTTGGCAGGGGAGCAGGCGTTGATCATACTGGCAGGGGTGTGGTTAGGGGGTGATCTGGCTGGAAGGCAGAAGTGGTTAGGGGCGAGCAGTTGGGAGGCAGGATTGTGAGAGGGATTGTGAGAGGGATGTCCCAAATTGGAGAGGGTGAAGGCTGGGCTGAGGGACACACCCCTCACCACCTCTCCCCCCAGTGCATGAATTTTGTGCACCAGACTTCTAGTTATAAATATAACTTGTATGGTCTTAAATTTTGCAGTGACTTGACTTTGAATGTGCTAATCTTTACATTTAACTCAGTACATATTGACTAGTGGTAACAGTAGCAGCTAACAGTTATTAAGCACCTACTGTACTCAAGGCACTATGCTCAGGGAGCATATTATAGGTGAATTGTATTCAAACCTCACCATTTTTTATGTTATCTCTACTTGACAGATAGAAATACTGCTCACATGCCCAGTGGTTAAGACTTAATAAGTGTTTCTGCCAGGGTTCTATCGCAGGTCATCTGTCTCCATGCTCTGGAGTATTGAACTCCAGGCATACTGCCATCCTAACTAGAGGCATTACAAAGTTATGTATATTTCCATTCCCCTTCTCTTTTTTATCTCTCTTCCCATTGAAGTAATTGCTTTCTCATGCTGTGGGGAAAGATTCTTTCTCTCATGCATGGTAAAGTCCTTTCTCCCCTCTAATTTTCAAAAGAGCACACTACAACTCTCAATGAATATTTTGCAGTGGGAAAAATTGGAGGAGGAGTAAGTGGTCTTTTGCACTAAATGCCTAATTGGGAGAAGAGTTGCTGAATCTTGAATAATATATTTTATTATTTATAGAACATAAGTAATTCATTTAGGGGTTAATATTACAGTGAGTGAAGCTGACTATAAATTGAGAAAATCTCAATTGATTAGGCCTTCTTAAGAATGAAGTTGGTTAAAACAATAAGATATAATTTTAATTAAAAATATTAAGTTTCAAATTTCTCACAGAAATAATCAGGGCAAATATAGCCTTATTGTAAAAGTCACACAAACAATAGGATTATATGTAATTATAGATTATTTAATGTTTATAAACTCACATGTTATGTGTCTCTTGCTGACATGTCCCTGTGTGTTTCATTGCAGCCACCTCCTTCGTGGTGCCCCTGCTGAGTCCCAGGAACCTCTTGGAGCGATTGTTTAGCATACTTGTCTCCTCGATGTCAACATATCTCCTCCTAAGCACAGGGTACAAACATTTTTAAATTTTCATTTAGAGTAGCAAGTTTTCAATGTTGGCATTTCTCTATGAACATTTAATCTCTAAAAATGAACAATGTATAAATCTTGAGGAATTAATTATAAGTATTTTCTGTAATAAGAACTGTATATGATTTGAACCATAACCTTTAATTTTCTTTTTCTTATAATATTTCCGTTTATTTTTTGAAGTGGCTAATATGTTTTATTTTAATATTAGAAAATTCCATTTGATTATGGAGGTATTTTAAGTCTCAAACAATGACTGAGAAGAATTTTACTTTTGGCTGCATTTCTTTCATGTACTTTAACTTAGGCTTTGATTTATTCATTCTTCTTTGAATTTAATATTTTATTTTTACTGTTATATATATCACAGTCCAAATAGTCCTTTTGATTCAGAAGACTTTTACAATATTTTCTCAAAAGTTAAAGAATGCATTTTTATTTAAGACTGAATTTTTTTTTTTTTTTTTTTTTTTTTTTTTTACAGAAGAAAGAAATTCTAGCAGTCTAATTTGTGGTAGGTCCTGAAGTGTTCTCTTGAACTCAGTGAAAACAGTGACATGTATCTTTTCATTTACTTAGAAGAAAAAAATTATTCACTTGCTTTTGAATTTTATTTCATCTGTACTTAAATCCTTACAAGGATGAGAAATGTGCTCATTATAATAAACACCAAGTAGAATAGGCAAGCCAAATAACCACCACTCATAGTTTGGCCCAAATATAGGATCTGGTCTCAATTAGACTAAACCTAGGGATTTACCATTGTGCTGTCAATGGATTCTTCCCATATTAGATGATTTTATAAAGGCATTTTGGGTCCAAGACCTGAGTTCATTTTGAGGGAAATTTAAGTATCCTTGTTCAGTTTTAGAGAGATGTTCTCAAAGTAGACTTTAACATCCTAGGTGATCTAGATCCCAGGAGTTCTTCTATTCCCCAGATAGCATATGATCCACTGGGTGCTAGACTTCCTCTGACCAAGGCCCACACACCTCCTATCTTTTCATTTTTCTCTGCACAAACAGGTCTGGGCACAGTAATAAAGATGTAATATGTATAATCAACATATAGACATTTTCACAAGTTATCTAATAAGATCCTCAGATGGGCTTGCCTTCAGACGTAGGACTTTGAACTCTGGAAGAAAGCTTGAAGTCTATCAGCATATTCTTACTCAAGAGTGACAAACATAATGTAACCTTAAAACTCTTCGTCATTTTTCTCTTCACTGGTGAAATTATCTCTCTATATAAAAGCCTAATATGCTAAGTGTCCAACCATTCATTCAACCATTCACTATGATGTGCACTGACCTCCAGGGAGCAGACCAACCGGTAGGTTAGCTTGCTGCTGTGGTCCAGTCAATTGGACTGGGCGAGATGGGCCAGACATGCCCTGGAGCCCTCCTGTAGTCCCTCCCCGGCCTCTAAAATACCTCTTCTAATTAATTTTCTTTCAATGTGCATGAATCTGTGCACTGGACTTCTAGTAGAATAAATAATTTAGTTATAATCAGAATCTATCAATGTATAATGTATATGTCAATTAGAATATGCATTTTTTTTTGTCTAGATAAAAAGCCTACCTAATAAAAGAGTAATATGCAAATTAACCATCATACTGCTACACCCACAATCCATGCCCACCAGCCAATCAGAGCAAATATGCAAATAAACCCAACCAAGATGGCTCAGCCACAGAGTGCAGGAGGAAGGCTTGAGTTTCCCAAACAATCAAAGAAGCCAAGCTTTTTGCCTGCTCTTGCTGGCCTAGTCCTCCACTCAAGGCTACAAAGTTTTAATTATAGAAGGTAAACAAATTCAAGCAGAAATGGCAGCAGCCACAGAGCTGGAAAGAGCGGGAGGCTAGGGTTGCCCCTGGCAATGGAGGAAGCAAAGCTTTCCACACACCCTGGCCAGCCCAGGCTTCTGCTTAAGGCTACAAAGTTTTAATTATAGAAGATAAATCCCAAGAAAAATGGCGGCAGCTATGGAGCAAGCAGGAGGCTTGGCTCTGCTCCCGGCTACAAAGTTTCAATTGTAGAAGGTAAATCCCAGATATCAGGGCCTCCGCCTGGGTTGCCAGGGGGCATGGCTGGCTACAAAACACCACAGGCCCCTCGCCCAGGCCACCCATGTCCCAAGGGAATCTCCACCCTTCAGGGCAAACCAGCTGGCCCCCACCCATGCACCAGGCCTCTATCCTATCTAATAAAAGAATAATATGCAGACTGACCATCACTCCAGCACACAATATGGCTGCCCTCATGTGGTCAAAGATCCTGCCCCTATATGTATACAAGATGGCTACCACAAGATAGCCAGCAGGAGAGGGCAGTTGGGAGGGACCAGGCTTGCAAGGGAGGACAGTTGTGGGTGATCATGCAAGCAGGGGAAGGCAGTTGGGAGGGACCAGGCCTGCAAGGGAGGAGAGTTGGGGGAGATCAAACCTTCAGGGGAGGGCAGTTAGGGGTGACCAGGCCAGCAGAGGAGGAAAATTTCGCGGCAAACAGGCTGGCAGGGGAGCAGTTAGACATCAATTTGGCTGGCAGGGGAGTAATTAGGGGGTGATCAAGAAGGCAGGCAGGTTGAGAGCCAGCAGTCCTGGATTGTGAGAGGCATGTCCGACTGCCTGTTTAGACCCAATCCCACCAGAATTGGGCCTAAACGAGCAGTCAGACATCCCTTGAGTGATCCCAAATTGGAGAAGGTGCATGCTGGGCTGAGGGACACCCCTCCCCCGCCCCCTTTTTGGTTGCATTTACAAGGATGAGAAATGTGCTCATTATAACAGGCATATCTGTGCACGAATTTTGTGCACAGATCCTCTAGTCAGAATATAAAACAATTTCTGTTCTATTCCATCATTTTAGGGTGACACAACTTTCATTAAAAGATTACACCCAGCCAAAACCAATTTGGCTCAGTAGATAAAGCGACAGCATACAGACTGGAGGGTCTCGGGTTTGATTCCAGTCAAGGACACATTGTAGGTGCATCCCCAGTAGAGGGTGTGCAAGAGGCAGCTGATCAATGATTCTCTTTCATCGATGTTTCTAACTCTCTATCCTTCTCTCTTCTCTCTGTAAAAAATCAATAAAATATATTAGAAAAAAAAAGAGAGAGAGATTACACCCAGAGGTTGCATTAGGAAGTAATGTTTGACAGGATCCAGGAACTTGTGTCTACACAGTCACTCAATAATTAATAAGCCCTTTTCTTTTTTGGACCTCTAAGTTCTAAAGCACTACACATTTAAAGGAATGTGTAGTAAATTAAAAACTGCAAATAAATCTAAACATAGATCTGGCTTGCTGGTTTAGAAGTTAAGAAAGGGGAATTAAAGTTGATTTTTGAGTGAAAAAGTATTTCATAATGTAGAGTTAAGTTAGCTATGTAACTAACATTAGGGATAAGCATTATAGTGTTTTAAATCATCAATTTAATATTCATGTAAGATACCAAAATAGATTATCCTAAGTACATTTAATTTATTTTAAGAAAATCTAAAAAGTAAAAATTTATACCTAATAAGTGTGGCCTTACTAGTGAATGTATTAAAAAATATATATTTTTTTTAACATTGGAAAGTACATTTACCTTTGCAAAAACATTCAACAGATGTAGCCCGAAGCATCACAGTCTAATAATTTCACTTAGAATATTTTCAATGTCAAGTCAGATTTGCAAAACATAGTTCACATTGTCATCTTTTCCCATTACTGTGAAGGCATAATGGAGGGTTCTCTATGGATATTTGTGAATAGTCAGAATTATAGGATATTTTTTAAAATTCAGTTTTATTACTTTAAAGAAAGACAGTAATAGTAATCCTAAATTCTAACTTAAAATGCATCCTTGATTTTATTAATAAAGAAGATTTATTTTGTAGCCAATATTTAATTATTTTTATGCAAATAGAAGCTATTGTAATACTTGAAAATAATTTTCTTGAGTTGGTTAAAATTTCCCTCTGAAATTTGTTTATTTGATCCCTTAGCACACAATAAAAGAAAGCTAAATGCCTTTCAGCCCTGTTCGATTTGCAGAGATCAAACTAGCAGATCCCAAGTTAGTATGATTTTATTATGTACATTATGATGACATTTTACTGGTGCTTCAGTATATTAATTCAGATATGCAGTTTTCATACAAAATATTATCTGATTATCTAAAGAAATGAATCCCTAGCCAGTTTGGCTCAGTAGATAGAACCATCGGACCACAGACTGAAGAGTTCTGGGTTCAATTTTGGTCAAGGGCATGTACCTCAGTTGCAGGTTTAAACTCCGGCCAGGGGCACGTGTGGGAGGCAACCAATTGGTGTGTCTCTCAATGTCTCCCAAACCCTTCCACACTCTCTTAAAAAAAAAAAAAGAAAAAAAATTCAGTGGAAAAGTATCCTCAGGTAAGGATTAACCGAAAAGAAAGAAAAAGTAAGTCCCATAGGAATATTTATTCATCTACATTTTACAGAAGAAAGTAATCATAGTTTATAGTTTTTGTAAGTAAATAAATCCGTAGCATAGGTGGGCCAGAGACTATGAACTGTTGTTTGCTTTTTACTTAAGAACAATGCCAATTTGTAATAACACCAACAGCCTATGGGGGAAGCGGTTCTATTTCATCATATTCTTCCCAAAATTTGGTAATTTTATTTTAAAATTAGAATATTAAATAGCCGAGACCAGTTTGGCTCAATGGATAGTGTCAGCTTGGGGACTGAAGGGCCCCGGATTCGATTCCGGTCAAGGGCATGTACCTTGGTTGCGGGCATATCCCCAGTAGAGGGTGTGCAAGAGGCAGCTGATCGATGACTCTCTCATTGATGTTTCTAACTCTCTATCTCTCTCCCTTCCTCTCTTATTTTTTTAAAATAAAATATATTTAAAAAAAAGAATATTAAATACTATTCTAACAGGTCAGAAAAGATGTAGCTTTTTTAACTTTCTGTGCTTATTAAACTAGTAATATTTTCTTTTCTTTTTTAATTTAATAAATATTGTTCAGATTATTACAGTTGTTCCTCCTTTTTCTCCTCATAGCTCCCCTTCACCAGGTTCCTACCCAACCCTGTGCTCTTACCCCCTCCCCACTGTCCTCATTCATAAGTGTATGCTTTTTGTTCAGTCTCTTCCCGCACCCCTACTCCCCTTTTCCCCCAAGAATTGTCAGTCCACTTCTTTTTTATGCCCCTGATTTTATTATATTCACCAGTTAGTACTGTTAAACAGATTTTTTATTCCCTTGGTTTTTAGATTCACTTGTTGATCGATATGAATTTGTTATTCAAAATTTTTATCTTTATCTTTTTCTTCTTTCTCTTCTTAAAAAAACATATTTCAGCATTTCATATAATTCTGGTTTGGTGGTTATGAACTCCTTTAGCTATTTCTTGTCTGTGAAGCTCTTTATCTGACCTTCAATTCTGCATGATAGCTTTGCTGGGTAGAGTAATCTTGGTTGTAGTTTCTTGCTATTCATCATTTTGAATATTTCTTGCCATTCCTGTCTGGCCTGCATAGTTTCTGTTGAGAAATCATATGGGTGCTATACATAAGTAACTAACTGTTTTTCTATTGCTGCTTTTAATATTCTCTCTTTTCTTTTGCTCTTGGCCTTTTTATTATGATGTGTCTTGGTGTGGTTCTCTTTGGATTCTTTTTGTTTGGGGTTCTGTGCACTTCCTGGACTTGTAAGTCTATTTCTTTCACCAGGTGAGGGAAGTTTTTGGTCACTATTTCTGCAAATAGGTATCCAGTATCTTGCTCTCTCTCTTCTTCTAGGACCCCCATAATTCTGATGTTGGTACGCTTGAAGTTGTCCCAGAGGCTTCTTACACTACCTTCAACTTTTTGGATCCTTTTTTCTTTTTGCTTTCGGTTTAGGTGGGGTTTTTTTGTTTTGTTTTGTTTTGTTTTTTGTTTTGTTTTTTTGCTTTTTTGTATTCCAAATTTTTGACTTGATTCTTGTGATCTTTTAGTCTGCTTTTAGGTCTCTGTATAATATGTTTTATTTCAGTCAGTGTATGCTTAATTTCTAGTTGATCCTTTCTCATATTCTTGAGGGTTTCGTTAAATTTATTGGCTTTTCTAGGAAATTCTTGAAAAACCTTATAACCGTGGTTTTGAACTCTATATCCAGTCTTTTGCTTTTCTTCATTTCCTTCATTTGTGGCCTGCCTCTTTGTCTCCACATTCTAGCTGCTTCCCTCAGTTGATGGAGTATCTTTGTGTATTAGGTGTCCTAGCAGGGCTCAATGGCTCAGCCTCCCCAGTGACCTGAGGTGGACACTCTTGGTGCACCCCTTTGTGGGCTATGTGTGTGCAGTCTTGTAGTTAAGCCTTGATTGTTGTTGGTATCACTGGAGGGAGTTGTCCTCCAGGCCATTTGGCTATGAGGCTCAGCAGTGTCTCCACTCTGGAGAGCTGCTGTGCTCAGTTTGGTTGGGGCAGAGTCTCGGGTTGGAGCAGACAGCCTTGCTTTCCCATCAGCCCTACTTTAAGAAGGCCCTGTGTCTCAGTGTCCCACAGCAATGGCTGCATGCACCTCTAAGAGAAAGCTGCTCTTGAGTTTTTCCCACTGCCAGACAGTTTCTCCCTGAATGGATCTGTGTACCCAAAGTCTCACCTGGAGCTGGATTTCAGTGCAAATGGGAGGTTTTGTTTGCCTCCCGAAGAGAAAGCTGGCCATGTGCTTGCTGTCTGCCTTCTCTTCACTTGCCGTGTGTAAGCCAGTCACATATTCAGCCACCCACCCTTTTTGCATGCACGGGTCTTCGCACCTCTGTCCTCCACAGTTCCTGAATCTCAGTGTCCTTTTATCTTTCCTTCTAGTTGTAGAATTTCCACTCATCCAGCTTTCTGGTGGTTCTGGACGATGTCTGCTCTGTCTTCCAGTTGCAGTTTTGAAATTGTTGTCAACTAGTGATATTTTCTTTTGGATTTTCAAAAATTGTTGTCAACTAGTGATATTTTCTTAAGGTTTTTCAAGAATTTCTTAGAAAAGCCAATAAATTTAATGAGACCCTCAAGGATATGAAAAAGGATCAACTAGAAATTAAGCATACACTGACTGAAATAAAACATATTATACAGAGACCTAAAAGCAGACTAGAGGATCACAAGAATCAAGTCAAAGATTTGGAATACAAAGAAGCAAAAAACGCCCAACCGGAAAAGCAAAAAGAAAAAAAATCCAAAAAGTTGAAGGCAGCTTTCTATACCAAATTATTGTGTGTGCTTCCTCAAACCCAAGTGTTCCTTTTGCCCAGTCTTCAGTGCTTTAGTTTTAAGATCTGTGGTAGAGTTTAAAGCATATTATTTATTTTGCTTTCTCATGTTTAGAAAATAATACCACGTGGAAGGAATAGAGTTCAAGAGTTGAAAAAGTTGAAAGAGAAATAAAGGATTTTTATGTTTGGGTTGGTTTATTTGATTTTGTTTTGTAATTTCCAGTTAGGTAAGTAACTCACTCAACAAAACCTGTGACCTGGGCCTGCAGGGGTGACGAGACTGACAAAAGATACAAACTATCAGGGAGGACACATAAAGAAACATGATTAAAATAGTGTAATTAGTGCTATTGTAGAGGTTTAGGGTATTGCAAAGGTTATCCCAAACAAAGGCCCAAAAGGATTGGAAAAGGCTTCCGTCACTGGGTTATCTCATGAACATTTCTCCTTCATCCACCTCGTGTTCCAGCCTAGAGATGTACCATGCTCACCTGTGGAGAGTAGTAGGTTGTTTTCTGTTTTTCCCTTCAGTAAACAATATTACAACAAACATCTTCATATGTGTATTGTAGTGCATGTGTCTGATTATGTTCTCTTGAAGTGATAGGTGGTATTTATGGCAGAGAATCTAAGAAAAAAAGAGGCCAGTGCCTCTGACTAAATAGTCAGGGATTGATGTTTTAAAAATTCTTATAGCACATCAGTGTGCTGCGACATACTGGATGAAAATTACAGGGTTAGAGCATATGAATATTTTTGAGACTTTGGGTGCATAGTGTGAGATTGCCTTCCAAAAAGTGTTTTATTCCTATACAGAGAGGATGCTATTTTTTTTTCATTACTCTCTTGTCAACATTATTTTTTTAAATTTTAGGTAAATATAAGTGAATATGGTATCTCCCTATTGTTTTGATTTCCATATCAGTTATCAATAAGGTCAAACTTACTTTTGTGTATTTATTGCCTCTTTTTGTCGTTTTTGAGAGTTATGTTCTTATATGGCAGCTTTTTTTTTTTTTAAATTTGCAACATTTCTCTTGCTCTTTTACTCTGTATACCAGGTATTAATAATTTCAACTTGGAAATTGTCTTTTTTTACCTTTGTATATGTTGTTGTTTTTTGTTTTTGTGTGTGTGTGTGTGTGTGTGTGTGTGTGTGTGTGTGTATCGGTCATTTACTTTATAATTATTTTTAAATATCTCTACTATTTTAAACATGTCATAATCTCAACATTTAATATATTTCAAAAACAGATGGTGTTAAAGTTAATATTTAAATGTTACTTTTCTACTTCTGGAAAATTAAAATTTTTGTGATATTGTGCCCTAGAAATATTAAGATTGTTTTAATTTTAAAAAATACTTCTCAATATAATTTGCATTTTAATTTGTGTAATGTTTTTGTCTTTTCATTTCTACCCTCCCACTTTCACCCACTCCCACCCACCTCTTAGGTATGAGGCTCTCTTCCCATTAGTGTTGTCATGTTTGATGTTTGTCTGGATCCATATAGAACAAGAAACCCTGCAACAATCTGGTGTTTCCTGGAAACAGAAGGTAGGTTGTCAAAATCATTGTTGCATTTATCTGAGAATATTAAAATACTCTATTCTATAAGAAAATTGCAATGTTATTTCATTAAATCTTCTTTCTACTTAAAATTTTATGCTATTTAAGTCATTAGTAATTAAGTTAAAATTAAGTTAATTGATTTATAAGAAAATTTTTTACTTATAACAGAAAAGCATACCATTGTTTTATAGACCTTATAGAAGATGGACTTTTTAAAGAGAATCACTGATGTGAAAAACATTAATATAGGGGAAGGAATGGAAGAGAAGGGATGTTATCCCATTTTCCTCTATCTTTACATCTAATTTTTCTTTCAATTTATTTTACCTGGAAGAATATTTATGTTGTCACAAATCAATTAATTAATTTGATCAGAAAGATCGTTGTCTTGTTTTTCTCCTTCTAGTCATCCTAAAACAAAATGCTTATTCTGTCACCTTAGTGATTATGGTCTCAGACCAAATCTTCCTCACAGTATACATTGAATTTCCTAAAAGCCAATCAGATTTTAAGGACACCTTTATTATCCTGAGGTAGAGCGTTAAATTGATGTCTCTTGCCTTCATTTTAGAAGGCAATTATGAGGTAATTATGAGAAATTAGTGATATAATATTTATAGTTTTACTGAAGTCAGGTAAAATAATTATTGCAGAACAACTTTTTCATAATTCATCTGTTCTTAACTGGTTCCACTTGAATTTATAGAGAGAAATTGGTAATTTAGAATAATTAATTTCAATAAAAAAACTTTATTGAAATATATTAAATAGTTACTGTTTAACTTTCAGTCCTGGAATATTAAAATAATACATTTTGTTCAAATTTAAGTAAATGGTCAGGCTGTTCTTAATATTAAATATTAAAAACTCTAATAAGTAAATATTAAATATTAACATTTGTAACATTAAATTTTAAAGTGAGGTTTATTGTGTCATTTTTTTATGTTCTATTTTTTACTTAAAAGGATATGTTCCTTTTTCTAGGAATATTATTAAAGCATCCTAAGAACTTATTGGCAATTACATGTAGTGTGAGGGATAGGGAAAATCTCTCTTCAAATTTATGATTTTTTGAGAAGTGTGAGGGATTAAGCAAGAATGCACCTATCTTCTTGGAATTGAGTGACTTTCTATTTTACCAAAGACAGAAAATATTTTGTCTTTCTTATAAAGAAAAATGATATCTCTAAAAATAGAATTAAGAGAAGAACAAAGAAACAGATATTTAATTTTATCATGCTTTTTAGTATCATACCATACCTAGGTTTGAGAAGATCAGGACACTGAAAAATCAGGTCTTAGGAAAAATGAAGAATTAAACAGGGATTTAAAAGTGAAGCATATATATAGGATAAGAAAAAGCTAATTCTCACTTTTATTACATATATAGCAATACTACAAATCTGTTCATTACATTATTATCAACATATTTTATTTTTCTGGCAAACTTTATTAAGGTGTAATTAAGCTATAGAAAAATGATTTGTTGTTGTTGGTACAAGTTATCTTTCTAGCAGTTGTAACTTAGACATCATTTTGCCTGTGGGGGTAGAAGTAAGAGAACTGTTACTGTGCATTCATGTGTTTCTTATTTCTCCAAGGTCACCAGTATCTATTTCTCCTACAACACTGATATAACCCAGTTTCGACAGCTCTGTATGGATGACATCCGTAGGGCCTATTTCCTTGTATCCTTCATTCGGGCTTTTGTTTTCAGTTGCTGCAACCCCCCAATTAATGGAGTAAGAGAATGTGGAAGGCCTGCCTGTCACCATTGGTGGTATTACCATGGAGAGCATTTAACTCTCCTCTCAACCATAATTTTGTCATAGTTCACACTGTTAAAAATTTTTTGAAACTATAAAAAAGCATAAAGGCTGACATAAATAAATATGTGTGTATTTCTACCATCCATATATCAACAGTTAATATTTTGCCACATATGTCATATTTTTAAAAAAATTAAAACTTTACACCTAAAGTTAAAGTCTTAACTCCCAACTTCAATCTAATTTCCTCACCTAGAAGAAACTGTATTATGAATTTGGTTTGCATCTTTTATGTATATCCTATACTAGACTCATGTAAAATGTATCTCACAAGATTTTTGTATCACATCAGAGGAAATCTTGTGTGAAATTCAAAATTTGAAAGATGGTATGGCAGAATAGTCTCACTTTGGGAAGGCAGGCTGACCAGCTTTGAGAAATTCATAGGGAGGTGTTTCCTTTGAACTTACCATGGAGCAAGGCTGGACCCAGAAAGCCAATGTGCCCATGCTCTCCTCTACCTCTTGCTTTCACTCTCAATCTTGCCTTCTCTTTTTTTTTTTTTTTTTCAGGTTCCTTACACTCAGCACAGACAAGTAAAACACCTCTTTCATTGAATCCTGCATCCCCCTAAATTATAACTTCATTTTGGTTTTTTGTTTGTTTGTTTGTTTTAAAATATATTTTTATTCGTTCAGAGAGAAAGGGAAAGGAAGAGATAGAAACATCAATGATGAAAGAGAATATGGCTAGGCTGCCTTCTGCACTCTACTGGAGAATCGAGCCATAACCAGTCATATGCCTTTGACCAGAATCAAATCTGCAGGCCAGTGCTCTATTCACCGAACCTAACAAGCTAGGGCTTCATTTTGTTTTTTTCTGTTTACTTCCAAGCTCCTTGAAAGAAAAATCTATAGTTGCTGCTACTATTTCCTCCCCTTTATGTACTATACCCTCATGCCTGGCACGCAATGTGTGGCACATGTTAGCTCTATGAGTATGTGTCAGGTGTCTACTGAAGTTGTCCTCTCAGTGTTGGCAGGGCTTCCTGATGGCAGTCTAATCTGTTAAGCTTTACATCATCACTTTGCACCATTCAACTCCATGGGCTTCTCTCTTCTTTTCCCTTGACTTCCAGGACAGGCTCTCTTCTTAGCTTTCTGTATAATCTCTGCTTTCCTTCACTTAAACTTAGTCTCTCAGTCTCTTAAACAGGCTCTCTTCTTAGCTTTCTGTATAATCTCTGCTTTCCTTCACTTAAACTTAGTCTTCCTTTGTCTGATCTTGAACCATGATTTTCTCCAGGCTCTGTGGTTAGCCTTCTCCTCTTACTGTACCTGAAAAATGTCATCCTCTCCCATAGCTTTGAGCAACGCTTCTGTGAACATAACTCTGAGATCTACTTTTTCAGTCTTGACCTCTCTCCTGACTTCAAAGGCCATATTTCCAACATTCCAACACAGATCACCAGATCTGTGTCCCAAACTGGCTGACAACTGCCCATCCCTTTCCAAAGTTGATCTCCTACAGGCCTCATTGCATTTAATGGCATTGCCATACTCTCAACCACTCATGCCATCAAACTTATTTCAGATTTAACTGCTTCTTGTTCAGTTCTGAGGTCCCGCTGTCTCTTTTCATTCTCCATTTCCACTCCCACTGAGCCATTTCAGACTTTCCTGTCCCTAACATGGACTTCTGCCTCTAATTATTTCTGTCTGATCCAGATAGCACACTGTCACTGGTATTTCTTTATCATTTATCTAAAATGTTTGCTAATTCTTCATTGTCTCCACAATAATAAGGTCCACAGATTTTTATTAATATGCCACCAATCTATATTTCCTGCTTCATATTTCACTGAATAGTCTTTATTTTAATAAACCCTAAGCTTTTTATCACATCTATTGACTGATTTGAAACTGTCATTTATTTTTCTACTATTTATCTTAAAATTTCCCTCATATACTTCTACATAGCAGCTTAGTCTTAGTCACCATCTGGTCGATTGGAGACTCTTTCATTCATATTTATAGTGTTTGTGCCTCTGATAATCACAAGACAATGCTGGTCGGTTAGTTGGTTGGTAGACTGGATGGATCCATGGATACTTTTAAGGCTCATATCACCAGAGGGAAACATTGATGTGAAAGATACATTGATCAGCTGCCTTCATATTTACCGCAACCAGGGATCAAACCCACAACCTAGGCATGTACCCTGACTGGGAATTGAACATGTGACCTTCCTGTGCATGAGATGACACTCTAACCAACGGAGCCACACTGTCCAGGGCAATATCTACTTTTTATTTCAGCACTAATACAAATGTAAATTTAAGAAATATCAAAAAGATAGTTAACATTTTTCTATATCTCATTCTCTATTTAATTATTTTAAAACATGATATTTATTTGTGTAGTGGGCACACAGCAAGCATCTATGAATTGAGACAGTATTTTAGCTGAAAATGTCTACCACATGCACTAGGTCTACATTCTCCTTTTGAAAAAACCATTAGTGGCCAACTGTAGGCACAATAATCCAGTTTGTGTATGCTAGAGAAGAGGAAAACAGTAACCTTCCCAAGATTACTAGTGATAAGTGAGGATGACCTCCCAGGCCTCATTGTACTTAGTACCCTGCTTCTACAATCTGGTTCTTTCCTAAGAAGACAGATAGTACATTCGTTTACAACAATATATGATCAAGTGTACAAATGAGAAAGCAAATTGCCCTCATAGTAGAAGAGGCATATCTTTTCTAAATGAAAAAGAAAGTTGTATAAATTCTGTCTTGTTTTGGCATTTCCTTAACTCTTTTTAGGTTTTCTTCTTAGTGATAGCATTTTTTGGAACTGGGAATATAGCTTCTATTAACAGGTAATTTTAAATTAAAACTATATATATATATATATATATATATATATATATATCCAAAAAAGTAAAACAATTGTGATTTTTATAATTGCTTTTTATACTGAAGGATATACTTCATTCATTTTAGTGGCTTCATAATGTTCCTTGTATGTTTGTGTTTTTAGTAAGTAGAAATTTTGAGAAAATTCATTTAAACATGCTTTTCAGCAGACATTATTTTAAAGTTACAGTGTAAATTTTAAAATTGTTTTTCTTTATGTTGGTTCTTTAGCTTTGATCTTGCCTCTGTCTACTGCTTTCTGACTGTGTTTAGTCCATTTATGATGGGAGCCCTGATGTTGTGGAAGGTTGGTTTTTTTGTTTTCTTAAGATACTAATTAATTAATACGGTGAATTCATTGTGATATTAAGATTATATAACAATTATGTGGCATTAAGGTTATATATAGTCATTGTGATAAATTTAAATAGCATGGAAAGAAGATACTGTCTCAGACACTGCAGAAGGTGGGACCCTCTAGCCTTTACTCCAAAATGTAACTGATATTTTTGTTTCACTCTTAAGCTCACTAAACTTCAAAAGAGTAGAAATTCAATGTTAGTCCCAGGAAGTGCTATCAAAGGTGATTAAAGCCTGTGGGGAAGTGCAGTACAGATCAAAACTGCTTTGCTCCTCAAGATTTAAGGGTCCCCAGATCCATGTTCCCCAGCCTTAAAACTGTTGATTATATTAATATTAATATTAATATTTTTTCCAAATATATGACCTACAATTGATTCATTCATCCAACAAATATGTCATTGACTGTTTACATTCAGTAATATGCCAGGCACCAGCTGGGTGCTAAGGATACCAATATAATGACTAATTCTCAGCTCATCAGGGGTTCATTCTCTTCAGTGAAATTTAATTAGTGTACTTTCCCTTCATCTCTAGGGTCATTATACTTGTCTTATTCTCTCTACAATAGTGCCTGGCACATTTTACATAATTAGTACAGTCCTCCCTTGGAATCTGAGAGGGTTTGGTTCCAGGACCCCTTACCCACCCTGCAGATACCAAAATCTATGGATGCTTCAATCTTTTATGTAATATGGTGTGGCATTTGCATACATGTAACCTACACATATCCTCTGTGATTACTTTAATCATCTCTAGATTATTTATAATAGCTAATATAATGTAAGTGCTATGTAATTTGTTATCATAATGTTTTGTTTAGGGAATAATGACAGAAAAAAAGTCTATACATTTTCATAACAGATGCAACCATTATTAGGTCTAACTACATCTATATATATAAAAGCCTAAGCAACTGAACAACCAGTTGATCGGTCGCTATGATGTGCACTACCACCAGGGGACAGATGCTCAATGCACAGGATCAGACTCCCTCCTGTCTGGTTTGGGCCTGCAGGGATTGGACTCCCTCCTATCTGGATCGGACCTACGGGGTCAGGCTCTCTCCTGTCTGGATCGGGCCTGTGGGACTTGGGCCCCCTCCTGTCTGGATCAAGCCTACAGGGATCCGGCTGAAACTGGCTATCCAACATCCCCTGAGGGGTCTTGGATTGCAAGAAGATGCTGGCCAGGCTGAGGAACCCCACTAGTTCATGAATCCATGCACTGGGCCTCTACTAGTACATATTAGCAATAATGTAATTTTTCTCCCCAGGTATTTTCAATCCATAGTTGATTGACTCTGTAGATACAGAGGGACAATTATATATGTATATGTGTTTAGATAAAGTGACTAATATCTATCAAAAATCTGATTGCCTTCTACTCAGATCACAAAAATAATAATCATTAATAGTATGTATCTCTTAATAGGATTAATATACTATTTTTGTTATTGTTATTGCACTAATATAAATGTAACTTTAAGAAATGTTAAAAAGATGTTCATTATCTCATGTCCCATTCTCTAGTGAATTATTTTAGAACATGTGCTTCCTTAATCTTAATTTAAATTTTTTATAATGGTGGTTGTTCTTTTCTCAGTCTTTTAAAGACGATAGGCCTTTAATTTAAAACAAAAATAAAATAAAATAAAAGCAAAAGTTTTCATTAGAATGATAAACCTTTAACCTCTGTCCTCATTCAGTGAGCTTTACTGACAAAATGCACTTGAAGAGTCTCTGTGGATGTGGCTGGGAGCGAAAGTCCTCCTGAACTCCGTTGTAGTCACATACCCTTCACTTGAAAAGGAATCTTAGGCAGTCTTGAACATTTATTTTCCATATCTCCTCACTTTCCTCTTCTTAAAAATATCAAGTAATATGTATTTTTTGTAAATTGGTCATTGGAAAACAGCATTTCAAAATATTATCAGTGTTAACTCTGGATTATGGATTTTCAACCTCTATAAATTTTATTATGCCTTTCTCATTGTTTTACAGTTCTTTACAGTACATATGAATTTTATAAACATAAATAAATTAGTATTAATATAAAACAACCAAAGCAATGGTAAAGCAGCTGAATTATGTTTATGGAGTTACTATATCAAATAACCAGATGAGTTCAGGGATCAGTGAATCCAATTATCAGATTTCAAAATTTATTTGATTTGGCCATTCTGTGCCTTTCACAACCTCTTGCAAGTATTTGAACATGGTCCTTAATATTAGTTATGTGGAACAAAAATTTGTAATAGATTTTATTTGGAATGTGGTGATATTATTTTTTATACTACATGTGCTATTGATGTAAATTTTATTTTATTTTAAATATATTTTTTTATTGATTTTGTACAGAGAGGAAGGGAGAGAGAGAGAGAGAGCTAGAAACATCGATGAGAAAGAGTCATCGATCAGCTGCCTCTTGCACACCCCCTACTGGGGATGTGCCCGCAACCAATGTACATGCCCTTGACCAGAATCAAACCCGGGACCCTTCAGTCCCCAAGCCGATGCTCTATCCATTGAGCCAAACCGGTTTCGGCTATTGATGTAGATTTTAAAGTCAGCTTCATTACTGTTCTGTGTGCATTGGTTTTGTTTCAGCATTCGCTCTTCACTAATATAGACAAAAGTCATTTGAGAAACTGAAATATTTCTATAAACAGGAATAACATTTTTTTCAAATGCTTCGGCTGTTCATGGCATCATTTGTTATTCTTTTAAACAGATTTTTATCCCCTTTGTTCTGGTGATGTGTGCTTTTGAAGCCGTTCAATTAACTACCCAGTTATCATCAAAAAGGTAAGGCAAATATTTAAGAACTATTGGATTTACCCACTTTTTGGAAATGAGGGTAAACATTTGAGGATATTTGGTATGATTACTGTTAAAGACACTGTGACATAGATTGTTTATTATAAAAATGAAAAGATACTTCATCTTTTAGGTCAGAGTTTAGTTTAATTAGAGGAAATCAGTTGATTAGAGCCTCTGGTAGACAAATATGCTTTCTTAACAATGAAATGTTATTAGAATATTATTAAAGCTAATGAAGAGCCTCCTTACAAAACAGTAAAACATAAATGTTAAATTTTTGTGGTGAATAACTTATATGTTTTAAATATAACTGTGCCTACAAAACAAACAATGGATATCATTCTATTTTGGGGATTATTTCTTAAATATGTATTAACATAATTTTATCTTGCATGGCTTAAAATTAACTTCTGAATGTCAATAATATACATAGTTTCTTAGTTTTTATTTTTACATATTTGACAAACAGAATGGAAAGTACTCTTTCTGAGTTTGGGGGAATTTCTGGAGCAATCAGTCTTCAGCAATCAAGCCTCTGGAAGAGCTGTCAACTCTATTATTTGCTTTTTTAACCAATAAAATTGCCTTATCAGCACTGGACTGAAAGACACTTGAGATAAATATGAAGCTTTTTAGCAGTTCTGTTATTCTTGAATTAAACTAGTATATTCAGTGCTGAAAGAAGTCACTAATATTAGAATAAATTTGCATGTTCTTTTTGATGAGTTTAAGCTAAAACTGGGTTTAGCATACATTATGCATGTGCCATAATAAAAAAAGAAACATATTTTTTTCACTGCTTAAAAATAGTAGAAATCTGGTTTCTAGTTTTAATTTGTATATTTATAGGATATTTACATAAACTTAACATTGAAAGCATTTAAACCTTATCTACGGCCATACCACCCTGAACGCGCCCGATCTCGTCTGAAAGCATTTAAACCTTGTCAATATCACATAAAAGATAATTACTTAGATGAAATAAAAACTGATAACTAATAGGTACTTTCTTGCATTTATTAATGGATAAATTTTTTAGAAGAGATTTTAATTAATGTTTAAATAGAAAGAACTGGAGGCATATGGAGTGAGAAATAGAAGGCTCATCAAAATGAGTGTATGTATGCATACGTATATTTTTGTGTTTATTTGTGTGTATACATGCACATGTGTGTATTAACTCTATTCTGAGATTAATGCAGTGAAAAAACTCAACACAAAGGGAAAAACTGAGGCAAAGGTGACAAAGTTGAGGCTTTATAAATGTCTTCTCTTTTGCCCTGGCCGGTGTGGCTCAATTGGTTGGAGCACCAACCAACCAAACCAACCAAAAAGAGAAGGCATTTGAAAGGTTGTCAGTTCAATTCCCAGTCAGAGCGCACATGTCCAAGTTGTGGATTCATCCCTGGTTGGGATGCATGTGAGAGGCAACCAATCGATGTTCTGCTCTCACATCATTGTTTCTCTCCTTCTCCCTTCCACTCCTAGAAGTCAATAAAAAATTTTTGAATAAAATAAATGATTTCATTTATACAGCATCTTGAAATGGCAAAATTATAGAAACAGGGAACACATTATTGGTTCCCAGGGGTTAGAGGTTGGGCAGGGCTGCGAGGATAGGTGTGGCTGTAAAAAGGATCATGAGGGAAGTGTGGTGATGGAAGCATTCTGTATCTTGACGGTATCAATGTCAATCTCCTGGTGTGATATTACTGTACTATGTTTTTGTAAAATGTTACCATTGGAGGAAACTGGGCAAAGGGCATATAGGATTCTTCTGTATTATTCTTGCAATTGCATGTGAATCTACAATTATCTAAAATAAAAAAGTCATAATTCATGTCCTTTCATGCTATCGAAATAGATATTCAAAGTGTTAAATAACATTTTTGAAGTTTAGCTCATTATAATGGGATAGTTGTAATAATATGAAAAGAGCTTTTGTCAAAAGTAATATTTTCAGAAGCAAAAATACTAACAGAATATTGGGTTATTTGACTATTCTCATTTTTATTTTAATGTGCTTTAAAAATGTGCCTGTTGTATTATGTGTAATTTTTGTCTCTCTTTTTTTTTTTCTTCAGTCTTTTTCTCATGGTTCTCGTCATATCAGACATTATGGCTTTGGTAAGACATTCTTGGATATTCAGTATAAATAAGATTGAGAAGCTAGTTTAATCAAGATAAATATGAGTTCATTTCTGTACATGGAATCTTTAGATACTCAGTTATAAGTGCTGGAATAATTTACATATGTAAATTTCTTTCTATATGACTTATACAGTAAGACTACTTGTTAAAGTGTGAAAAGTTCTCTTTATTTATTTTTCTTTTCTTGTTTTGAATTTCTCATGTTATACCTGGTCTTCTATGGTGCATTATATCTGAAAGAACTTCCATAGGAAGTTAATAGAAAAGCTAACTTCAGGTTTAGGCAATACATTATTTTTCTGCTTGAAATGTTGATTATTTAACAATTTTCTCTGATTGAAAAAGAAAGGGAAAAGGAGGAAGAGAAGTGGAAGGAAAGAGGAAGTGGAGCTTTTCAAGTGGGAAGATGTTGTCAAAATGGTAGCGCTAATAAATGAATTCAGAGTGAGGAGCATTTAGGTGGGACTTTTTACGTAGTGGGTTAACAAAAAGAACCTATTTTACCTTCAAGTTTAGGGGTTCCCAACCCAGGGGTCCCCTCAGGTTGGATGATTCACTAGATGGACTCACAGACTCACTGAAAATGGCTATATTCACAGCTGTGGTTTATTGCGGAGAAAGGATGCAGATTATAATCTGCCCAAAGAAGAGACACAGAGGGCAGAGGCCAGGAGGGTCCAGGTGTCCAGGCACAGAGCTCTGTCATCCTCACCCTTCATTCAGGACAGCATCCTTTTTCCAGCATCATTGTCACCAGGGCCTGTGTCCAGGACTGACCTTTCATCTACATGACCCTTCAGTGACCAAGGGCCCATGCATGACAGTCCAAGGGCCCAGAAATATCTCTCAGGAGCTAGGCAAGAGACAGGCCTCTCTTTGGATATGGTTAAGTCTTTGCTATGTTAATCCTATGCTATAAATGATTAGAGACAGCAATTACAGTAACTTCTCACATTAGATTCCTAGTCACTTGATTTAGATGAGAGCATCTTTGTGTTGTATTAATCTGGATTTTCAGTACAGGCATACCTCACAGATATTTCAGCCTCAGTTCCAGACCACCTCAATAAAGCTACATCATGATAAAGTAAGACATAATCTTTTTGCTGGGGGAGACCCTCGTGTCTTTAATTTATTTTTAAAAGGCACATACACATTATCTTTGAAGCACAATAAAACAAAGTGCAATAAAATGAGTTATGCCTCTATCTGTCTGAAATTGACCAAACATAACGTTAGAATAAATCAGCTTTTAGTTTTACTCACAAAGTGGCAATAGGCAAGACATATTAACAGAAGGGAATTTAAATTCTGATTTCAAATTCTATATAAAGAGTCAAATTGTTTAATTTAACTTAGAAAATGATTTGTGTCTAGCTTCTGCTTACTTTGAAGGCTATTAACAAAATTCACTTCTGCATTCATTTGATTGAATGGTAATGCTATTTCTGGATTTTAGATGATTGCATGTTTTAGTCAAAGCAGACATTTCAAAATAAGAGACAAATTCTTATTGATTCCAGTCATATAGTGGTTCTGAACGGTCAGAAATCTGAAACACATAATCCTAAAACAATATTGTTTTTCTGACTAATTCTAAACAGCCTTTGTTTTTCATGGAACCATCTTTTGTTTTATTTTACAGCATTTTTTCTTCTTGGTAAAGGATTATGGCAGCTGGCTTGATATTGGAACAAGGTATAGTATATATTCACACAGAAATTCTTAGCAGTTTAGTGGAAAAATTAAATTGATATCTTCGTATGTATGGAAGATGTCAAATTGATTTTTGAGATAAGCATAGCAATCAACAGTTTTTTTAAGCCTCTTTAAGTGAAACATTTCTCTTAAATTCTTGGCACTAACATATTAGCAAATGTTTTCTTAAGATGACATGTGTATAGGTGTTAAGTGTGGAGAGAAGGATAGGACATCGGGAAAGTGCAGGGACACAGCCTGAATCCGAGTATTTAAAGATTATGCCACAATCTGTGATCTCATCATCATTCCATCTCTCTTTAGAAAAATGAAACTGTTTAGTTACAATGTGAATTTTATGTGGCAGTTTTAATTGGAGGATGGGTTATTTTGCTATAGAAACACTTTTCACACCTGAAGAGAAGCCAGGTTAAGCAGGGACTGAGAAAAGTTAAGAATTATTGAGGAAGGTGCCGAAACCAGTTTGGCTCAGTGGTAGAGCGTTGGTCTGTGGACTGAAAGGTCCCAGGTTCGATTCCGGTCAAGGGCATGTATATTGGTTGCAGGCACATCCCTGGTAGGGGGTGTGCAAGAGGCAGCTGGCCGATGTTTCTCTCTCATCGACGTTTCTATTAAATAGCTCTCTATCTCTCTCCCTTCCTCTCTGTAAAAAATCAATAAAATATATATTTTTTAAAAGAATTATTGAGGAAGGTATCAAATTGGTATAATAACTAGTATTAAAATGTCATTTATTGCCCACAGTGTATTTTGAGTTGTAGGTATATTATTTTATTAATTCTCATGACAATAATTCAAAGAAAATATAATTATTTCCATTTTACAGAGGATGAAACCAGCTCCAAAAGATTAGGATTACACAATAATGTGACATAGCTGTTTTATTCTTTTGCATTGTATATTCATTTAATATATAGATCATCCTATATAATAAAGAGGTAATATGCAAATTAGCCCTCACACCCTCACAAAATGGCTGCCTATGACCAGGCCAGGACGGGGGTTAGTGAGGGATGACCAATGACTGAACAAGCAGGCTGTGTGAGGCCACCAGGCCCGTGGAGGGGGGCCATGAGGGGTGACCAGGCTGGCAGGGTGAGGGGAGTTGGGGGTAACCAGGCAAGCAGCGGGGGAGGGATTTGGGAGTGACCAGGCTGTCGGGGGGCCAGTTAAGGGCTATCAGACAGGCAGATAAGTGAACAATTAGAAGCCAGCAATCTAGGATTATGAGAGGGGTGTTCCCAAATGGGTCCCAGATTGGAAAGGGTGCAGACTGGGCTGAGGGGACCCCCCCCCTCCCCTATGCACAAATTTCATACACCAGGCCAATAGTCTATAATATGCTAACAGTGTAATATGCTAATTAGATGGCTGACCTTCCAGATGAAGCCAAGGCTGCAAGAGAAGCCTGGGTCCCAGGTGCCAGAAGGCAGCCAGTGCTGGCAGCCAAGGGAAGGAAGGCCTACTCTTGAATGAATTTTGTGCATCATGCCTCTAGTTTCTTCAGAAAAAACATCACATAGTAGATACTCACAATGTACTAAGTATTCTCAGGCATCGGTAGTGACCCAAAAGTGAATAAAAATGCCTGCTTCGAAGCTTAGTGATGCTCTGTGATTGGAAAGAGACTCACTCAACAGGATGTGGGGAATTAAGGCATTGAGTGGAGGGTCCTAATGCATAACTTGAGACGGTGAGGGTGAGGGTCGTTCCAGCCGGGAAGCACCTGGCCCTACATTCAGGAGACTGTGGTTTAGCACAGGCTCTGGAGCATGATAATTACAATGCAGGCAGCACTGGGTAAGGGGTGTGTGAATACCGAAGGGAGGCCAAGGCCACTTCAGGCTTCAGTGACTGAAAAAGCTGTGCAAGGTCTGCATTTAAGCTGGACCTTCAGTGGAGGATATAATTTCAATTAGTGGAGTCAGAGGTTTGCAAAGAGTATTTTAGGCAGACAGAATGGAAAAAGGCAAAGCTATTGAGGTGAAAAAGCTTAATGCTTGTGTTTGTGTTTGTGAAGTGTGATAACTTACTTGGATTTCAGAAACCAACATTTTTAAGAAGTTTCTAGAAAACAGCTTTTGAGAGCCTTAAATTGGACTCCCTTGCATACAAAGCGACAGTGTAAATTCTACTGGCCTGTAAGTGAGGAGCCATATTATTTGGTTCTACTTGAACTTTGGTATTTTGGAAGTAACTTTCATTGCCTGGGAGTTAGGAATCTTGACTGCCTTTGTTAAACAAGTTTACTCCAGGGTGAGGTAGGGGAGGAAGGGAAGGAACTGTGTCTGGAAGTGGAGGCACTGGCTAAGTTAGCACTGCCAGGGTGATTACAGCGTTGCCCTATGGGTGCCTGGTGTCACAGCCTTAGCAGCCAGTCTTCAGTTCTCTTTCCATTCCTTGGAAGTCACTCTGTACTACCAGGCATGGCTTTTTCCTGGTTCCTACAGGGTTACTTCCAATTCTGGCAGGCCTTCACTAACTTTCACTTTCGTTTTCCTAGATTTTCTTTTCCTTTTTTTTTTTTTATTAAGGTATTATATGTGTACATATCTTTCCATTGCTTCCCCCCTCCCCCAAAATTTTTGTTTTTAATTATGGTAATGTTTGGGTCAAATAAACTCACAAAAATTCTTTTTAAAAAAACACCATAAAAATGTAATATGCAAATCGACAGAATGACTGGTTGGCAGGGGGTGGGACCAGCAAGCAGGCAGCACCAGGCCAGCCAAGGCACATGCCAGCAGGCAAAGGGAGGGAATGGCAATGGGGATTGACCAGCCGTGGTGGAGGGGCGATAGGGAATGGGGCTGACCGCTCACCATCCCCAGATTGGCCCTCCCAGTCACCTCCTGCAGAGGGAGGCCACTAGTGGCAGTAGTAGTGGGGCGATGAGGGGGGTGGGGCCGGCCACTCACAGGCACTGTCCCCTGATCGGTGTGCCTGGTTACCTCAGACATCCCCTGAGGGCTACTGGACTGCAAGAGGGCACAGGCTTGCCAAAACAGGTTTGACTCAGTGGATAGAACGTTGGCCTGTGGACTGAAAGGTCACAGGTTCAATTCCTGTCAAGGGCATGTACCTTGGTTGCGGGCACATCCCCTGTGGGGGGTGTGCAAGTGGCAGCTGATTAATGATTCTCTCTTATTGGTGTTTCTAATTCTCTATCCCTCTTTCTTCCTCTGTGTAAAAAAATCAATAATATATATATTTTTTTAATTTTTTTTTTTTAAAGAGGGCACAGGCTGAGCTGAGAGCCCCTTTCCCCACCCCCCACCCCTCACCCCCAATGCATGAATTTTCATGCACCAGGCCTCTAGTAGTAATATATATATATATATATATATATATATATATATATATATATATATAAAGATTTACCATCTTAACCATTTTTAAGTGTATATTTTAGTATTAAGTATATTCACACTGTGCAACCAACCTCTAGAACTATTTTATCTTGCAAAACTGAAACACTTTATTTGACCCAGCCCCAGGCAACCACCATTCTCTTTTCTGTCTCTATGAATTATGCTATTCTAGGTACCTTATCTAAGTGGAATCACACAATATCTGTCCTTGTGTCACTGGCTACTTTCACTTAGCATAATGTTCTTAATGTTCAGCCATGTTGTAGCATGTGTTAGGATTTCTTTCTTTTTTGAATCCTGGATAACATTACATTGTATGTATGTACTAGGGGCCCAGTGCATAAATTTGTGCACCTTGAAAGGAACTGTGGGCTGTGAGGCTACAAGGCTGCGGTGGGCAAAGGAGCAGGTCTGGGCCCATCTCTGTGCCCCTGCCTGGCCTTTCTTACTGTGGCCCCCAGTCCTCTGTCTGCTGATAGCCGCTACTGCCGTCGCTGCTCCCACAGGCTGACAGTGCCGGCCTAGCTCACACCCACTGATGGTGCAAAGCATTTGGGGCTATTGCTAGCAGAGAGTGCAAGTGGCAGCAGCTGCCCCAATTGCCCCTCAGGAGCAGGGGGAGGTGGAGAAGCTTTCAGAGGCAATTGGGGCCAGCAGCCACCACTCGCATCAGCTGATGCCAGGCACTGACAGTGAGTGTGAGTGGCAGTTCTGGCACCAGCTGCAGGTGTGAGTGGAGTTGGCACTGGCAGTGGGTGCGAGAGGCAGTGGCACCGGCAGTGGTTGCGAGCTGGGCTGTCACTGGTAGTGGGTGCGAGAGGCAGCTGCTGGCCCCCATCGCCCCTCAGGAGGGGAGGGGTAGGTAGAAAAGCCCTGAGGGGCAATACTGGCCAGCAGCCGGCACTCGCACTCACTGATGGCACTAAGCAATCACGGTCGGCACCAGACACTGGCAGTGGGTGCAAGTGGTGGCTCCGGTGCCAGTATTGGATGAGAGTAGGGCTAGCGCCGTCAGCAGGTGTGAATGCAGGTGGGACTGTAGCATGAGGGAGCAAAGAATTTTCAGTAACCACCAGAGGCTCGCCCAATGACAGCAGCAGTGTCCCACCGTGGTCTGGCACCCTGCTCACCTGCTCCACCATCCTTCTGCAGCCAACACACCCCCTAGTGGTCAGTGCACGTTATATAGTGACCAGTTCTGTTCCACTGTTCACTCTATTTGCAAATTAGGGTTTAATAGATATGTAGATCATTTGTTTATCCTTTCATTTATCAGTGGATACTTAGGTTGCTTCCATCCTTTGGCTATTGTAAATAATGCTGCTGTGAACATGAGTATGCATTACCTGTCTGAGTCCCTTCTTTCAGTTCTATCAGATATTTGTACCCCGAAGTGGGATTGCTGGATCATATGGTAATTCTGTTCTTAATTTTTTAAGATACCGCCATAATGTTTTCCATAAGAGTCATACCATTTTACATTCCTACCAACAATACACAAAAGTTCCAATTTCTCCACATTCTCACCAAACCTTTTCTGCTTCTATTTTTGTTTTGTTTTGATGTTCTCATCCTGATGGGTAAGAGGTATAGCTCATTGTAGTTTTG